TTTTACCTACCCTTAGATCAGGGCTGGGGCTGAAAGACAGTAGTAAGAAGTAGTCAGGGGAGTGGTAGCAGAAAGGCAGAGGAAAGAGTCAGGAGCCCAGAGGAAGAGGCAAAGAGATGGAGGGGGGGGGGGGGGAGCAGAAAGTGGAGACGAAATCAGACGACTGTACATGATTAGAAAGCAAGAAAAAAAGTCAAAGGAGAAAATTTTAGAGAAAAAAAATGTACGTCGTTGTCAGATTTTGAACACGGGACCTTTTGAGTGAGAGCGAACACTGTACCTCTAGACCACGAGAGCCTCCCTCATAGACTTCTGAAGACGTCTCTCTTTTTTAAAAAAAGAAGATAAACGAACTGTCTTGACTAAACGTTAGATCGAACTCAAGTTGTATTCTCCTAATCTGAGGTCAGGACATTGCACTTGCAGTGAGACAGAACGTTAAAAATATAACAGACTCAAAGCGCCATGTCACATCTGCACAATCTAGCTATCTGATATACACTGTAATATATCACATGATAATGTCATCTACTTCTAGTTCATAACTCCTGTTCAGGAAAAAAATAGTTAAATAAAACCAACAAAACAAACAAACAAACAAACAAACAAATGAATGAACAAATAGACAAACCAATACCCCACCAAAAATCCTGCAAAACAAAACAAAAACAACAACAATCTTTAAAAGTAACCAGAAAAAGTATACATTTATTTCTTTTGTTCACGAACTCTTAACTGCAGTCCCCAGGTCATGTCTCGACTTTATTACTGGGCACAGCTCTCTCATAACGGTCTCTCTCTCTCTCTCTCTCTCTCTTTCTCTCTCTCTCTCTCTCTCTCTCTCTTTCTCTCTCTCTCTCTTCCTCTCTCTCCCTCTCTCTCCCTCTCTTGCTCTATCTTTCTCCCGTTCCCTCCTTCTTTCTCCTTCTCCTCTGACTCATGTTCTCTCCATTTATCCTCCTCCTCTCTCTTCCGTTCTCCGTCTCCCTGTTCCTTCTCTCCTTATTGCTCCTCTTTCTCTCATTTTCTCTCTCACTCACTCATTCTCTCTCTCTCTCTCTCTCTCTCTCTCTCTCTCTCTCTGTCTGTCTTTCACACACACACACACACACACACACACACACACACACACACACACACACACTCTCTCTCTCTCTCTCTCTCTCTCTCTCCTGTACCAAGAACAACAGCTCTCCCCACCAGCATGGCACCACCAGCAAGAACAAGCCATGAAGTCTAATTAAGCCAGCATTAAACTCGGCCTCATAAATCCTGAAAGGAACTATGAACGACCCGCATCGGGGCGAAACTTGAACGGGTATCGATTACAAACTATTTCAATCTCCGGGGCCGATCTATTCCTTGCTCGTCCATGCCACAGTCAATAAGAAAATTGGTGTCCATTTCCCCTTACTGATAATAGAAGGCAGTCTTTTAGAGCGCCTGCCAGTGTCATTGAGGCTATTTTTTCTCCCGTAGACTTGTCTCTATCGCGGGGACCGGACAGAAGTATGCGGGGTGGCGGACGGCCAGGGAAAAGGAAAGGCTAGTGAAACGTGTATTTTTGACAAGTGGGAGAAATTATGGTGTTTCCGTCAGTCATTGGGAGGGTAATGTGCTTCTGACGTTTGAAGGTACCGTTAAGATTTTTCTCCTCCTGTTGAACAGCCAAGGTGTGCAAGACAAAGGTGAAGCTTCTCTAGAAAGGTGGACGTGGCTCTTCTTCTTAGGAAAGGAGCATAGTTATCGTAGACAAAATTTTCAAAAATTCTAAACCCAGAAAGCAAAATTTTACAGTGTGTGTGAGAGAGAGAGAGAGAGGGAGAGAGAGAGAGAGAGAGAGAGGGAGAGAGAGAGAGGCGGAGAGAGAGAGAGGGAGAGAGAGAGAGAGAGAGAGGGAGAGAGAGAGAGAGAGAGGGGGGGTATATAGATAGATACATAGACAGAGAGAGAAAGAGAACGAGGGAGAGAGAGAGAGAGAGAGAGAGAGAGAGAGAGAGAGAGAGAGAGAGAGAGAGAGAGAGAGAGAGAGAGAGAGAGAGAGAGAGAACGTATTGCAATTTAAATTTTAACAAAATATTTGTCGAGCTCATGCAACTATAACACAGATTAAGAAATTGTAGGTCGAAATTTCGGACTTAGCACATAATTTCAACTGTTGGCCGAAGATGTATTTTAGTACACTTTCGTCCTCGGCAATAGGTAGTCGTCTTGAACAATTTTGACTGTATTTGGCGCAAAATACGTTGTTTAAGTCACAAATGTTTGAATGATAATGCATCATCATATTTATCAAATCTGTTAAGACTGTACATTCCAACTCGCAGTTTAAGGTCATTAGCTGACAAAAAGGAATTTTTTTTACCATCTGTGAAACTTAAAACAATGGATGAAAGGGCATTTGAATACCAAGGCCTTAAGATCTGGAATGCTTTACCAAGTACTTTAAGAAAGATCAAATCTTTTGATTCATTCAAATGTCAGCTGAAGTCGTTTCTGTTTTTTAATTAATAAGATGAATATTTGGAGTAATTTTCTTTAGTCAGAACACAACGTTTTATGTTACTGTTGTACCCTGTCCTGTATAGTAAAGCGCTCAGAGCCTGTGTACTTTAATCGGGGTTGAGCGCTATATAAATGTCATTTATAATTATTATTATTTATGAATTTCATTTGATGGCCTCTTTAGCGAGACCGGTAGTAAGCAAACGGTCCAGAGATGAGGTTTAAACACATCTTATCATGCAGGTGCCCGTCTGCGTACTAGTCACACTTGGCATGAAATCACAAATAAGAAAAAAAAATTATGTTTAATATGTAGGTGATTTTACGCCCCCATTAACACACCATAGATCGTTTAAAAGGTGGGCTTCTGGCCCTGCCTGTCAGGCGTCAGGGCCAACCCAGATTCACAGGGGTACAACATCCCAGTAGAAAGGCCGACGATGTACTCGATATAAATTAATTCTTCCCACTCGGGAATCGAACTTGGGTTCCCTGCTTACGACAGGGAAGTGCCTAAGCATCACACCACAGACACATCTGACAGATATGCAAAGTATTCTCTATAATTTAAAATTTTGCATTTGCAATGTAGTTCAACAGAATGGGGTATTTATCTTTAGTATCGCTGCTACCCGTGCTATTACCCGTGTGAATGTAAACACAATGGCCC